CTTTTGCCTAAGAGTTTTACTACAATGTTCTCAGGGTTATGAGACTGACTGCCTGTAGCTGAAAATACCAATTCCTTTGGGTACTTCAGCAACATTCCCTACAGAATCAATATATTCCCTATATGTACCCAAAATTCTGCCTACATGAACCAGGTGGCATCAAGGTTTCAGAGTACTCTGAGTCCTTTGTTCAAAAAACCTTTTTAATGAATCTCTATCATACGCTAGATACTCTTTTGAGCACAAGAATGCATAAATTATTAAGAAGAAAACAGTATCTGTCACCAAGTAACTAACAGCCTCTGGGTGGGATAGATAATTACAATTCAGTATGACACTTCCAACAGGATTAATACTGGGCCCTTACGAAAACTCAGGAGAGGCACTAAACCCAGCATGGTGGATCAGGTTAGAAAATGCACAAGAGCTAAGTCGTGAACATAATGCACTAACACCAGCACTTTTCATGTACAGGGAGGCATTAAACTGCTGAGCCTACACAAGTAACTCCAAATTATTAAATATGGCTGGAGCATTTAATATGAAGGGAGAAAAAGGTCAACAGTTCAGCTGCAGGAAATGTAAAGGAAATAGTTAAAGAGGACCCTATATGCCATGTTAGCTAACACTTTTTGAGCACCTGGTACGTGCCAGGCATCCTACAAATTTTAATCTTGCATTTAAATGCAGGTTAGCTTGCATTTAATCTTTACAAGAACCCATTGAGCTAAGAATGATTATCTTGCAATTTATGGAAGAGGCAAGAAGTTAGATCACTTGTCAGCGTTATAGAGGTTTTAATTGTCAAAGGCAGAACTGGAATCCAGTTCAGGTTAAATGTGAGCCCATAAACTCTCCACTCCACTGCCTCTCTTAATGAAGGCTGCTAGGGGGAGCCATTGAAAGGTTTTTAAACTAAGGAATGAAGTGATCAGATTTGCTCTTCAGAAAGACTGTTAGGGACGCTGGATAATGGGGGTGAGTCTAGCAGAGGAAGCTGCCAATGTCTGTAGTAATCCAGGTGAGAATGATGACAGCACAAACTGTGGTAGTGAGGATGAAGGAGACAGAGTCCAGAGATTTTTGAGGAGGGATAATTATCAGTTCTTAAGGATTAAATGTAGAGGGTTTGTGTGAGAGAGGAATCCAGAAACTTGGCTTGGGGAACTAGTTGGGACATGGCATCATCTACGAGTAAGAGAAGCAACAAGTTTAGTTTGTTCAATAAATACCTACAGAGTGTCTCCCACGTGCAAAAACATTTTCCAGGCCAAGGATTAAGTCTGCAATTCTGGTCCTGGTTGTTAGAATATATTCTTGAGAGCAAATGACAAAGCATTAAAAAAATATGAAGTACATTGAAAATTAGCAATTTGTGCTACCATTTAAAAAGAATATTACCATATGCAGAAAATAAATAAAGAAAAAGCATTCCATAATTTTAAATTTGTTATTACATTTGAGTTTGACAGATCTTCAATCTCTTACATAATATGCATGGGTGCAAACATGCACACACTAGTGTCACCTATAATTTGTTTTACTTATCCCTGTCCAGGCTTATAGGGAGGAAAATGTATCCATTTCATTACCTAACCTGAAATACATATTTGAGTTTTTTTTAATCCCACTATCACTACTGTGACTTGCCAAGAACTTAGTTCATAACCTCCTACTCGACTTCCTATAAAATATGACCTACTTCACATCAGCTTATCTCAGTACCAATTTCTAGACTTTAACCACACCTTGCATTCAAGGATGCTCCCTGCAATTCTAAAGTACAGCAATCCTGTGCAGATGTGGCAAGTTATTACAATTCCCACTTTACTACATAGTTAGGAAATTGGCCCAGGGGAAGTAGAGTAACTTGGAAATAATCACAAAGCCAGATGCCAAAAATAACAACTTTTAGTCAGTCCATGAGAAAATACTGCCCCTAGTTGAATAACATGAAATTTCGTATTAGAAGGAAGCAATATGCAAAATAATGATTTAAAGCCAAGTCTTTAAAACTTATTTTTAAAACTGACTGAATACTAGAATTAAGATTTGTAAGAACTTTCAAACACAGATTTTTTTTCCCCTAATACCTCATCCATCCAGAATGCCAACGATTATTTTACAAATTACAGCTGGCAAGAGTGGCTTTTTCTCCAAACTATTTTTATTCTTAGCCACTTAAAAAACGCTGAGAGAAACCTGTTGGTATAGAACAAGAGGTAACCTTTAACAAATCTAACTGCTTAAAATCCAATACCTAAGAAGCACATACCAGATCAGATCTGAAAATACTGCATCTGAGCCTCTTAAATCTTTTCCTGAAAACACACTCTCTGCAGACCCATCTGCAATATGCACAGGCAATACATTTATAACTTTAATAGTCAATAATCAGGATAAGTTTCCCAGCCACACTCATCCCTTATGTTTCTAAGTATGCTGCTGTTTGACGTAATTAAGAAGGCAGTGTTTTATTTGGTCACAAAATAAAGGCCTTATATGATTTAGAAATAAAAAAAAACAATTCAATTTGTAAAAGTTGCTTTTATGAGGTGTGATCATTCTTATATGCACAAGTCCAAGCAAAATACCTTCCATTATTACATGGTACTTAGACTTTGTCAAAAACAACAGTGTACTCAAGATTTTACCTTCAAAAGAATAATTATGCACTAAGAATAAGTTAAGGGGGATAAATTATCATTGGTCAAATTCATTCATGGATCCTAGACTGCAAATTTTTACTAAAGCCTCACGTTATCAGTCATGAAACATGATTTTCCACTAATTAATTCACACTACTAATTCTAATCACAGCTTTCAAAAAAAATTATTTTCCACTGCACCAAAATTCCTCACACTAGATCTTGTATATCCTCTACTAGAACCACTTTATGTGGAACTTTATAAATGAAATGACAGTCCAAATGACTTTATGACATATCTACTAAAACCAGTGATCAATTTTTAGGTCAATTTCTTTTGGGGGGAGCGGGTAGCTCCTAAACAATATATTCAGTCTCATAATCCTACTAAACTCTAATGTCCCTTATTGCCAAGCACCAGAATATTTAGGTCTTCTAAATACACTACACCACCATTCCCCCCACCCCCACACACTATGCCAAGCTTTTCATTACCATAACAATAAGCACACTGAAGTGCCTTCACCTTATTTAAGACTATCACTTAAATGTCTTTTATAATCGCATTTGATTAATGCATTCCACAAAGACTGTAGAGGCAGAATTCATCAACTAAAAACTGCACTCTTAAGAGCTTTCCTCATTTCAACTCCAAAGATGGGACAGAAGAGTTGTCATAAATGGAAAGAGCAAAAGCACCTAACTGTAAACTAACGATTAAAAAAAACATTTATAGCAAATTCCCGAGAACGATGCCTTTTTTCCTTATGAAGAAGGCGTTACTGGTAAAATAAACGCTAGACCTAGAGTCTAGAAAACGATAAAATTCTCCACTCCGACATTAGAAAGTTTTCTACATCAAAATTCACTTAACTGCTATTTATATATTAAATGAATATCCAACGTAGACATCTGAAACTATTCCCACACACCAAAAGAAAAAATACCCTACACCTCTTCTAACCGTCCTACAATACCCTCAGGTAACCCAGATGCAAAGCTACAACAGCTGCACCTTGGCCTAGACCGCGGGGCCGGGGCGGCGGTGGGGGGGGTAGGGGGGGCGGCGGCAAATAACCAAGAAACCAGATCTTTTTCCAGGACTACTGTTTCCAAGCAAAACAACCTGGGGCCCAAAGAGACCGCGAAGAAAACTGGAGACATGGTAATCCCGAGAGAAGGCGGCGCGGGGCGGGGGAAGGCGGTGTGCACGGATGCCCGAGAGAAAAGGGTGCGGAGAGGAGTGCCGAGGAGGAGGCGAAGTATCCCGGTGCATCTTCAGACCCACGAAAACAACAAACCGGAGGGTCTGCACGCAGAAGCACCAGACGGAGTCCCCGGAGCTGAGGCTGTGCAGCCAACATACACTGTGGGTAGTGGATAAATGAACCGGTTATGGGAGGGGAAGGGGGTTGCCAAGCGAATAAGCCAAACAGACTGGGTCAGACAAAGCTTCTGGGGGTGATCTAAGACCAAACAAGAAGTGTGAGAGGGAAACACATGAGCTAAATAATGAAAAATCAAAGACAAAAATCTGGTGCCTGGGTTGTGGTAGGTCACAGAGCTACCGAACAGAAAGAAAAGGGGCGCAACAAAGGGGCACGGAAGGAAGGCAACTGAGGGGAGGAGATGGAGAAGAGATGCGGGACGCGACGGGTTGGACAAAGCGCCCAAGGCGGCGAAACAAAAGACCGGGGGTAGAGAGTCGCGGGGGACAGCGGGGAAGACAAAGCGCTCGGGACCAGGGGCACCAGCCCGACGAGGAGGCGGCAACAGCCGCGAGGAACAAAGCTGAGAGGGGCCGGGACTCAAAGCCCGCGGGCGGCGGCGAGAGGGGCGCGCAGAGTCACGGCGCCCGCGGGCCCCGCGCGCCCGGCCGCACTCAAGCCCGCACCCTCTGGCCTCACCGCCGCCGCCCGTCCTCACACGCAAGAGTCCGAGCAAGCGCGGCGCAGAGCGGGCAGCGCACGGCCACACGCTGCCGCACTCGTCGCGTGGGACTCCGCCCCCGCGGCCCCTGGACGCCAAGTGCTCCGCGGTCCCCGAACCCGCCGCCCGCCGTGGGCTGCAAGACGTCCGCAACTTTCCCGGTTCCCAGCGCTCCGATTCCCCCGGACTTACCCTGTCACAACAGGCGCCATCTTCCACAAACTCTCGCCAAAACTCCAACCCTCGCGAGATTCCCCCTGACGCTTTCCTTGGCCCCTCTCCCCCGCCCTTCCCTTTTTTCCTCTCCTCGATTCCACCCAGCCCCCGCGTTCTTTTTCCCCTCTCAGCCGCCGCGAAGAGCCAGACGCCTCGCGCCGCCCGCGGGGTAGAGGATCGTGCTCGTTGCCTTCCCTGGAAACCTACCCTAGCGATGGAGCATGCGCAGGCGGCTCCTCCGTGGGCGAGCCCTCCGTGTGGTCCATAGGGAGCGCTCCGGTTATCCGGGTTTTGGGACGCGCCCTGAGGGACGAACGTGGAGACTGAGGAAAACCGGAGGGGATTACTACGGGGACCGGGACTGGAGGGGTCAGGAGGCGGGACCGAGGGGAAGGGAGGAGGGGTCCTGGGAAAATCTGCCGCGTTTCACAGGCCTAGATGAAACACCTCCTCAAATGGGTGTTTTCCAAGTGGCTTCCCGCTCACTCTGGTTCCCAGCCCTTTTCATTCATTCAAACGTTCATTGGACGCCTCCTTTATGCTAATGTAGACGTTAGGTGCTAGAGCTACGGAGATGCCAGGAGTTCGGACGAGTGACAAACCTAGAACTCTTAGTTCAGACAACCCCTATGCGAGCGGAAAGATAGACAAGTTTACTACGGTCAGACCCTCGAGCTGTGCAAATGGAAAACTTTTTCAGTTGCGCTCTGTCGCCATAGCTTGCTTCTCCTTGGATGTGAAATGAAGACAGGCGAAGACCTGGCAAAGACACCCCTAATGTCCACTTCGCATACATGCACCAGAGTTTCGCGTAATTCTTTCCAGAGGTGAAAACCGCGTTGGAATTGAAAGTCGCCACTCCCCCCACCTTGCACTCAAGCCACAGCTCCGGCTAGAGCAGAGAACTTGCGTGCTTGTGTGAGCTTCCCTAGAACCTCGTCGCATCCCCCGGACGTGTGTGAACCCAAGTGTATATTGGGACAGACTCTGCCCAGGTCCTCCCGTGGGTCTGGCAGTCGAGGATACTGCTCGCTACCCGAAATGTATTTCAGTTGACTAAGCTCCGGAGCAAGTCGGCATTTCATAGAAAAGTGCAGGGCCCAAGCCCCGCCCCCTCCTCCCTACCTGCATCACCCCATTCTTCCCCCAACCCCTGGCCCCGTCAATTCCTAGAGATTCCCAGATCCCGCACTGCTTCCCGCAGGGAACCCCAAAACCCGGAGAACTGGAATCCGCGGCCCAAAACCTGCTGAAGGCGCTGCAGGATTGGCGCGGCACGCACGAAAGGCACTGCGCATGTGCCCAATGCGGGCGGCCCAGTCTCACGCTACCCCTCCTTCCCACCGCCTTCCACTACTCGACTCAGACACAACACCGGCCGTGGGAAATTTCCTAAACCTCGCGAGAACGCTCCCACTGTTGCCTATGCTGTTGCTCCAAGTCTCGCGGAGTCCAAGCAGGACAGGTGTTTGTCTAGTGCAGCTCGGGGCGCTGTTCGTGCCGCGCGTGCCCGGGGGCTGGGGCGAGCACAGGCTGGCTGGGAAGGGAGCGGTTTGCAGCGGAGGTGGGGCGGGTGGGCGCGTGTCGGGGAGCGCAGGGCGGAGGATGCTGGGAGGGGGCGCGACGTCTTGCACACACACACGCCGCGTGACTCTTTGTGGAAGAAAAAGAGGGGGTGGGAGTTCTAAAGGAAGAAGGGGAAGTCAGATTAGAAAACTCCACCTGGGGAGGGTAGTAACACTAGGCAGGAGGAGCCCCAGGCCGATTCCCCGGAGGTTTCTACAGCTCTACACGAGCCTGGTACTTTCCTAAAATGTGTTTGACGCCGCGCCCCTGGCCTCTGGGAGCTGCCGGCCTCCAGTGTGGGCTTTGAGTCATGCCTCTTAGTCACCTAGTCTAGCCACTTGCTTTAAAACAAGTTCGGATTCCCTTGGATACTCTCTTCTAGCAATTGGGTCTTTTCTTTTTGATCTCCCCGCTTGCCTCACGAGTTGAGCTGGGAAAAAAATAAGGCTCTCTGCCATCTACCATTGTTGCCTTGTATAAATTGTTGCCTCCCATTCAAGGACACATTTTTAAATTTCTGCCTAACCTTTTGAAGTAATCCATATAATTAGTTTTTGTTCTTTTCTCCTACTAATATGACTTAAAATACTGGTTTTGCCTTCCTTCACCTTTCTGTGTGTTTGTTGAAATATTCAGTCCATTGTAGGTATTGTTTCATCATGTACTTCAGTGACACCTGTTTTAAGTGCATCCCTTCTTTTTGGATTATTTATTTGTCCAGTGAATTCCTGGTTACATTCTCTGATTAGGCACATTTCAGAGTGCTCTGATGTGGTTTCTGTAGTGGCCTAAGCTGGCATTGTCTAGGAACAGGTGTCTCAATGGCTTTATAGCGCTGCAAATGTAGAAACTGAATTGAGTGGAGTTTTGGAAAACAGTCCAAACAGGGGCTCAAGTTCCACTAGTTATTTATTGGACAAGAAATCAAGTTTTGGGGTGGTTTTCAAGGGTCTTGTGTGTGTGTGCATTTTCCTATCCCTTTGATTAAATATTTCACATAGAAAAATAGAAGATGTAAAAACATTTAGTACAATCTCACAATACAAGTATGATTTGGAACAGGATAGCTCAGGCAGAAGACAATGCCCCCCAGGCACACATTCCTTGGAACCTTAATATCAAGATATTTCAGTTATGGTCTAGGCCATTAATCTAATTTGGAACCACAACCATCTGAGAGCCTTAGACATGAGAAGCACGGTAACCACAAGTCAAATCACAACTCCTCTTAACCCTAAAACATGCTCTGCCTGCATTCTTTCCCCATCACAATAAATGACAGCTCCATTCTTACACTTACTTAAGCCAAGAACCTTGGAATCACTCTTGCCTCCTTTTCCTCTCATATTCAACATTAAACCTAACAAAATCATGCTGCCTCTGCTTTAAAAAGATCCACAATCGAAACACTTCCACCTCTCTGTGGTTACCAAGCCATTCTAACCCATCTCATTTCTCAACTTGCAGATTTCCCCAGGAAGTCTCCTAACTGGTTATCCCTTCCGTTCTTGCCTTCCCTCAGTCTGTTCTCAATAGATCATTTAGGGTAACCCTCTAGAACTCCCATAGTTTTCCTATTTCACTTTGAGGATGCACACAACCTGGCCTGCCACCCAAAACCCCTGACCTCCCTGCCTCACCTCTTCCTCTTCTTCCCCTTGCTCACTGAGCTATGCCCAGCAGCCTTCATGCTCCTCCTGGGACTTATGAAGGCACACTCTCAACTCCTGCCTTTCCTCTTTTCCTCAGATGCCTTATGGCTCATTCCTTCACTGCTTTCAGGTCTTTGCCTAAATGTCACCTTCTTAGGCCTTCTCTGACCACTCTTCACAAAAGTGACTCCTCATACTCCCTATTTCTTCCTTCTTTATTTTCCCATGGCACTTATCATAAACTAACATACCATATATTATACCTGTGTATTGTGTTTACTCTCTGCCTCCTCCCATTGTAATGTAATCTTAATGAGGGCAGGGATTTTCACCTATTTTATTCATTTTTCAAGCCTCAGCCAGTAGAACAATAGCTGGTGCATGATGGGCACTCAGTAAGTATTTGTAGAATGAATGGGATGTTTTCCACTCTACAGCAGAGTACAAAGCATTTTGAAGACTCATTAAGACTTCTAGGGTTCAAAGAACACTGGAAGTTAGACCAGCAATAAATATCCCAGTGTTGGCTTACCTGGGAAGAAGTCTACCGAGCAACCACCCGTGTTGACTTTCTACAAAAAATTCTTACTTCTGGGTTAGACCAATCAATGAGCCTACACTTACATGAAGGGTTTCCACTCTCCATTTCAGAACCTCAGGAAAGAAAATACTGTTGGCAAGACATAAAGAAACAGGTAGCCTCATGTATCAAGTTGTTGCTAGTGGGAGTGAAAGTGGGTGTAAGTTTTACAAAAATCATTAGATAAATGTTTTCACCACCTGCTAATGTTACAATTCTGTTTCTCGAAATCTGTCCTGTAACTGTATTCACACATGTGAACTTAGCTATACATTGCAGCATCATTGATGGTAGAGAATACTGCTAATAATCTAAATGTCTATCAACAGATGTCTTATTTCTTAAAAATCATGATATACTCAGAGAATTGAATGGTACACATCTGTTAATAAGCCAAGGCTGCTTTTTATGTTCCTATGTGGAAGGACCACAAAGCTTTAAAAAGGTGTGAAATACTGATAGATACAGAAAATCTAAACAGACCAATTACCAGCAAAAAATTGAATCGGTAATCAAAAAACTACCCAAGAACAAAACTCTTGGGACAGATGGATTCACCACTGAATTTTATCAGACATATAGAGAAGACATAATACCCATTCTCCTTAAAGTTTTCCAAAAAATAGAAGAGCAGGGAATACTCCCAAACTCATTCTATGAAGCCAGGATCACTCCAATATCAAAACCAGGCAAAGACCCCACCACAAAAAAA